CTCGATTGGTAATGAAACGTTTGCAACCAAATTGCCCAGCTCAGCGAATAAGCCAACAACCATGCCAATGACAAGTTTTAAAGAAAAACGGTTGATGTATCTGTTCTGGGTTTTTGTAGTTAAAGTAAGAAACTAGTTGTATTTGCATTTACTGCGCAGACGATACAAGCCACTTGAATTTCAAAAATCTGTGTAAAGTTTATGCTGTTAAGGTAAGTTCGAGAAACCACATGATTGGCTTGAGTTCCTTTAAAAATGAGAAGAAGCAACTATCAAAATGTTCTTTCTTATTTGCCACCAGTTCTCTCCTTTTGCTGAAAAAAATGATTGTCTACTTTTATCAACTCGCTGCATAATTTAATATCAACACCATACTATGCGAGACCTGTGTTCCGAATTGCCTAAAATTCAAGCGTATTTTGTTATTCACATTCTGAACCTTATATCTGAAACATGCCTCATTCACTCCTATGTTTCTTAACTTTTCAACAATTTATGAGTCCTGTCCGCCTGGTCTTTACATAACTCCTAATCCCCTGGAGTTAAGTCGCTTTTTTAAATTACTGCTTTTAGTAAATTGAAACGTTAGCCAACTTTACTCGGTAACAATTACGCTTATAACAGCTTGCTTTTGAATCAAACTGGTCCAATTTCAAAGCAGTATGGTGAAGGTTCACTTGTAGGCAATTTGATAAATTTCTCTGAATTTGACAGAAAATCATTGAATGTTATTGTAATGCACCAGTTCCTCCATCCTAGTAATCCATCTGGAGTCATAAGACGTTAATCAATTAGATATGCTTCAATTGAGTTCTAAAACTAGCCATAACACGATGCTGCTTGCCGTTGTCTTGCAGATGGTGCCAACCTATATATAAGCCTTTATATCAGTAGATTTGTCTTTGCGTTTGTACCGCCCAAGAGCTCACCTTTTGTCTTGAGCAGTTTCAAAATACAATTTATGAATACAATAAAAGCCAAGTTTGCTGGAAAAATGTTCTATATAATGCAATATTTTTTATGACATTTAAAAATAGTAAAGACTCCGTGACTAAACAGTCTATTTATTAGCTTCCAGGGGCTCAATGACTCGGTTACCCACTCAAATGTATTCAGTCAGGTTTTGTCGACGGTAGCCTTGAGTGCCCAAAACACTACTTGGATTCCCTTCATTGCACTCGCATACATCCCTTCGCCAGTCCATTAGGACTCTTCACCTTATGCGCTCAAATGTATTTACATATGGGTAACTGAGCCGGGCCAAAACATATTCCTGAAATTTCACGTGGTCAACGAGATGGTACTATGAACTAGTCTGTGTGTGTGAATTATGTTGCGCATACGTTACATATGGGTAACTGAGCCGGGCCAAAATATATTCCTGAAGTTTCACGTGGTCAACGAGATGGTACTATAAACTAGTGTGTGTGTGAATTATGTTGCGCATAAATAAAACGGAATCCTAGAACAAAAAGCGGGTTGAAATTATAATACTCTTAAAACCAACAAATCTAGACTTTACGCTTCTAAGACAAACTTATGGTTGTCCTCGTCCGCATGGACGTTTCATTATCTAGATCAAAAATTGCACAACTTTTTTCCCTGAAGTCACAATTTGAAAAGTGGCATGACAACTCATTACAACTTGAGCCTTTTAGCTCCATTGTGCTAGAGAATCATAGTTTTGATTTGGGTGACTGAGTAGCTACAACCGCTGTTATCAGTAGTAGAATCAAGCACCAATTGCACAAGATAGCGGGTTTTTAGACAAGTCACATTAAAAAGATTGTTTATTTTCTAGAGCTGATTTGCGGATTTTCATAAACAGTCGCAAGATTATGTTATGTTGCGCATAAATAAAACGGAATCCTAGAACAAAAAGCGGGTTGAAATTATAATACTCTTAAAACCAACAAATCTAGACTTTACGCTTCTAAGACAAACTTATGGTTGTCCTCGTCCGCATGGACGTTTCATTATCTAGATCAAAAATTGCACAACTTTTTTCCCTGAAGTCACAATTTGAAAAGTGGCATGACAACTCATTACAACTTGAGCCTTTTAGCTCCATTGTGCTAGAGAATCATAGTTTTGATTTGGGTGACTGAGTAGCTACAACCGCTGTTATCAGTAGTAGAATCAAGCACCAATTGCACAAGATAGCGGGTTTTTAGACAAGTCACATTAAAAAGATTGTTTATTTTCTAGAGCTGATTTGCGGATTTTCATAAACAGTCGCAAGAGGACGAGGCACAGAAATTCACCGGCTAAACGGTCAAAGACGTAGGAGCCTGGCCAGATATTTACCCAGTTTAATTTTAATAATTATGGCTTTTTTTAAAGTAAAGTCGCTAGGTCAATAAACAACTTTAAGAGTTTCTGTCATAAAAACTTGAATCTTATTAACCATGGAGCGTTTATGACGGTCACAACTGGCGTAATTAATTTTGCCTTGCTGGTAACAGTAAGACAGATCCAGAATTCTGTTTGAAGTTTATACCAAGCCTGGCGCTACTATGCTAGACGCCACTATATACGGGTTTTGTATCATCATTACCGTTATGCCGGAATGCTTGAGCCCAACATGTATAGAAATCGGAGAAAAATTAAATTCTCCATGGCCTTTCAGAACACGCCATTCAGAACAGGTAAATTGCATGCATTCTATTGTAGAATATCTTGTTGAACAAAAGAAAAGCAAGAAACCTAGGTCAGTACTTAGGTCTACTGACAGGAAATTCATACGGTGATTTTGGATTTCATCACAGTATTTGGCAGCACAAACATCACTGTGTAATTGAAAGGGTTTCGCAAAGCAAGGGGAATAGGGTCATTTTACAGTTAGATGGAAGCCTTTCCCAGTCAAATGCAATGGATGATGGGAGTCAAGGACGCTCACTCAAAAGCTGTGTCGACTGTCGGCAGAGTACCAGCACCCGCTAAGGACATTCACTGTTTCTTCGTTTTTAAAAGTTTTCTACAATCTTCCGACATTTTGTGAACCTCACCGTTTCCCGGTGACCTAATCCTTCGAGAGGTGAAAGAAAGTCGGCACAATATACGCAGGTTACCAACCAGCTTAGAGCAAATGATACAAACCACCAGACAACGACAAAAAAACGATGTTAAGGTGATCTGTAAACAAAGTACAATCAAGATATCTAGTTGAAGTAAACAGCAGGGGACCTTCTAGAACTCAAATACTGATCCAAAAGAACCACGATTCAAAGCTACCAGGAGACTGACTACAAGCATACAAATCCAGGCTTTCGTGGTGTCCGCATAAATCTTTAAAACACAGACGGACGCTGGTTCATCTGGCACTCAACCGTGGACAGCTGGTATATAATCCGTGCAAAAAGAAAAAACTACAGTGGCTAGTGCTGCGAGCGGTTACAGAATGTTGAGAAAGATACCAAATCGCGTACCCATCACACTAGGTTACTGGCACCACAGCGATAAGGACAGATATCGTTACTCAACCCATCTCTCATGTAACATGCACGATGGTCGCACGGCAACGCTCTCATTACAGTGCACCAAATGTTTATCCCAGAACGATCAACATCTACGGTGATGAAATGCAACACATTTCAAGAGAAGATAATTCGGTCATCATCGCCGAAAGATTCAAATGCCTGCTGGATCAACATCCTAAAATAGTTATCATCTATAAGATGTCAATACCTTGAAACCTATAGTTCCATCGCTGTGATTAGAAAAACATGGGATATGGCCCACTCCGCTCTGCACAAGACTCAAGAGTCACGGTTGATAGTATTGGGTACCATTACTACTGTCTATTGGTAGAGAATTCGGTCGTCAACCACCGAATTTCTGGAGCCGTTCTTGCTGTGAATTCGCTAATACTGGTAATATTCTCTTGTATCTCCGCAGCACTGATATATACGTTAGGAACGTCTCTGTCGTACACAGTGACAGTGGACCAGAACACACTACGAGGATATGTACCAAAGTTGATTTGGGTACCCGCCTCTCATCAAACATATCCTTCTAAGTGCACAATGAAAAATCGGAGCAAAAGGCGATCATCGATCTACAGCTGATTCAGGCGAATCTACAGGTGAATCTTCCTCCGTACAGCTTGCATGAACTTACAGATATCTTATTATGCCCATGCCAATAAAATTTTCTACTCAGGACGAAATAAATGCATAACCATCATTGAGCGTGTCTAGATGTTTCCGGCTCAAAGTCCGTTGATCATGAAACGCGTCTCACGGTGCTCAGCCTAATTTTCCCTGGAGTATCGTTGCCTCCGAGACCCAAAAGTTACTTACGCCCTGTTGGAACGTTTGGCCAACGTTTTCTCCACCGCTGCGTGTTCGAGTCATGTCAGGCCCACCAAAACGGCGGGAACACAGTAAGAATATTTCCAAACTCAAAGCACACACATCTATTAGACAACTGATAATCTCATTTCGGGTAGTTAGTGTGTGGGATAACCTTCCTCCAATGTTAATAACGGTGCATCCAGTAACCATTTCAAAGCACTTTTAAACGCCTGGTTGGTTGAATCCTCATGTTGCCCCGTGCTGAGAAGTTGAAAAGAAATGCTACACCCTTTTTTCACCTAGATCTTTCAGGTGAACGGAAACCGTTGAAAGACAAGAGAAAGGCCGAATCGGAAAGTCTGAGCGAAGGCCTCGATCCTGTGTATCAATTCGCGAATCCGTGAATTTTTAGTGTTATTTACAAAAAAGGGAATAATCATAAGTGGTTTGGCAACATACCTGATGTACCCACGGGCAAGTTAAAGCGGAAAGTATCATGCTCATGATTTCGATAAGTAAGCAGGCCCTCCGAAGACTTCTCTTTACCAGCAAAGGCATAGAGATCTTTCGTATTACTACATCGGGAAAGAGGGTGATTTAAAATAACACCCTGTATGAGCTCATTTCCAAGTTCGATGGGTTTTTTTGGAAAAACCTGGTTTATTGAATAGTCCCTGAGAAATCATCGAATGAAAATTTACACCTACCTAGCGAGGCGTGAGCAGCTCATTTTAGATGGTACGATCAACCATTCGAACTTCCGCTTATTCTTTATGGTGTGATCTCGCGCAAAGTTAGACGCGTGGAGCAATAAAACGAGCCGAATAGTTTAGACCAACAGGGTGGTGTGTATTTTGATTTCGACGGAGTTCAACGGTCCAGGCGGGGAGGTTTTCAGTGAGACTGAATTCATCAGTGCCGAAATTGTTTCTTGATATCCAAGATTGTGATCAAACGCCAAGGTGCACAGTGTGCTTGTGATCTGGGCACCACAACTCCCATCACAAGATGGGGATCAGAGGAGTCATTCTGTCACACGCACTAATCAAATAAGAACTGGAAACAATGGAAGGTGCCCTGTGTTCAGTGCCGGGGATCAGAGGAGTCATTCTGTAACACGCACTAATCAAATAAGAACTGGAAACAATCGGAAGGTGCCTGTTGTTCAGTGCCTCAAGCAAACGAGGCAGGAGTAGATATGTTTCACTTGGGAGGGTTTCTATTCGGAATGCCTGAATTAAAAGAATGCAGCACGATTGCAAACCCGACAGGTGACGTGTAGGCAGAGAATTGGCAGGGTTGTGCTTGAGATTAAAATAAATTGGCACATTAAGTGATTTCCGAGTGAGTTTTGAGCGACCTCCCTTTGGATATGTTTGACTTCATATGCACGGATGAATGAAGTAATTTGGGCCTCGCCACATTACGGTTTCCTGGTTACTGACCTTGTACAGCAGTGTGCAGCTGCACAAATAAGTGAACTTAAATTTTCTACCGCCACTTCCCATCGGCTGCAGATCAGCTGGTGGCCAAAGAATGTCAAAGAAAAAAGCTGTGTGACTTTCCCAGCCTGCTGTGAACAATTCTGAAGGGGTAAATAAATATTGTCGTTCTTCCTCCCCAGGCAAGCGCAACGATGCCGCAGCCGGGAACCTTATTCCAGCACTTACGCAGAAGTTAATAGTCCGTCCTTATCCGACATATGAGATCTTCTACAAAACCGTTTTGTTGAAAAAACCGTCGCGCTTCGTTGTATGCACGTTCCGAGACAACATCTTTGTACCCCGCCCCCTGTTGGAAATCGTTTACGTTATTCATCCTCTGGAACACTTTCGACTGTGCGGTCGAACCCATTTGATTAAGTAGGCTACAAGTTTACTTAACTTATGTTTATTGAGAAGATCTGTAATAAGTCTGCGTGTAGGAAAATCAACGAAACGCACTGGATAGATGTTATGGGGATGGCAGAGAGATACCATGCAGTCATAAATGCGACTTGTGCATTATTAAATAACTCCGGCTATGGGATAATTTATCCGGTTGGGGGAAAGCCAGGCTAGTGAAAAAGCTCAGCTATTCGAACAAGTGAACGACTAATAGCCACTGGAAAGTTAGCGAGCGGAGGAAAATGAGGCGGCAGCTACAACTGGGGAAATGGTGACAGAGTGGAAAGGACCAGAGCGTGTGAACCATGGCTGAACGATGACGGAGCGTGAGCAATCGGACCAAACAGTGGCGTATCGCAGTGTTGTGCGGGGTGTACGGGGGATTCTGAATTTTGCTTGCTTTATGTTGGTTAGGGTTGGGCAAGACGATGAACCGCCCAGTCAACAGCGCAGGTGTGGTTCAGGGCAGGGCCCTGGAGGAACATTATATAATTTGCTTTAAGCCAGTCAGAGGGGTAGCAAGGTATGGTAAGAGCGCGGGTTACTTTTTGCTTATTGTTTTGATCATTTTTCGTCCACTAATTATACGTCTGTCAAACTCGAGCGAGATCTGGACCTTTCTCATAGGAGAGAGCATGGGAAATTTGGGTATTCAGCAGAGCGACTTCGGCCTTACCCAAGGAAGTTGTTTACGGACCGTGAAAACTTGTGCTGTTGTGTGATATTTCAAAACCGATGAGGAATGCCTCTCAGGTGCGAATATGGTAAGCCAGGAAAACGTGATGTCATAGGTTTCGATGTGCTTGAGTGCACACTCAAAGGCTGCCAGGTTTAGAGAACATATAGCGTTATAGGACTCTACGTTTGGCCTAGCCTCTGCCATAGAAGCATTTGGGTACAACAGACGGTGTAAGAGGGTTAAACTTATCTCCGACCGTCTGAGCTATAGTGCTCAAGGTCCACGATTATACAGAGGGGGCGGTGGGAGGAAGAACAGACCCATGGGAATAACTTTCTGGCGAATAGATGTTCGACGTTCTAGAGTGCCAGCCTACAACTTTTGGTATGAATGAAAGAGAAAGCAGGACAGAATTCCACAACTTGCCGCACCCATAACTAAGAAATTGCCATCTTTCTGTCTCGAAGATGAAGGCAGCGTAATATTAGAAAGCAGTCTACGTGCTCGGACAACCTGGAACTGGACTTGGTAAGAAAAACTAAAGGTGTAGGAGTATGTGAGACCGAGGTCTTTGATCTAAGTGTAATGAGTGACAGGGTTCCTATTATTTGTGAACGTGCCAGGTGGGACGAAGCGGCGACAGGAACTTGTGCGTGACTTGGAAGAAGAGAAGCTTAGGCTACAGACACTTGACCAGTGAGTTGGTCTAAGTCTTGTTGAATCCGGCGAAGGGCAAGAGTTTTGTCAGAGGGAGGAAATGTGTAAGCACTTTTTATTGTCCACAAAAAGAAACCGTTCGCCATGTGACACGGCGCCGAAGACGTCACTGCTATACATCAAGAAGCGGATGGGGCCAAGCACGCTCCCTTGGACGACTACACTGGGGTCGGTAGTGAGGATGACTGTTTGTCACCGATTTGTGTTATCTGTGGCCTATCAGATAGACAGGGGGTGAACCAGTGACGTAAGAATTCAGTGATCCCAACAGATTTGAGTTTCCTCGGCAAAGATACTATATCCAGATAGACTGTAACAATAGTGTCCGGCATAAAAGACTGCATTGACGGTCTCGAAGAAGTTAAGCTCTCAGCCATTGACGGGTCTCTGAGATAGGAATCCGTAGTGTCGGCCATCTATGGCATTTGTAGCTAGGGGATACTGGTTTACGAGCCTTTGACCAGATGTTCAAGGGCTAGCGTTGAAAGCGGTGTATGATGGATCCCCTGTAGTTTGAACTAGTTTGCCTGGATCCGGACTTGATCCGGACAAGATTGTTTCCACTGGGAGAAGACGATTTCGTAGTTGAATAAGCGAATAAAGACGTAAGACAAGTATTTCGACCTTTGACAGCAATGTCTCACGGCATCTTCCTCCTGCACGACGAAATATTTGAGGGTTTGAAGAACAGCTGATACATCAGCAATGGAGATGTTTACGTTGCTAAGAGACGGGCGATTACTCCGTTGTGGAGATGTGAAATACGCTGCAGAGGTTGTGGAATTGAGCTTGGCAGGAAGGACTCGGTAGTAGCTGGCAAAGTAACCATTCGAGTGGTCGGCCATACTGACAGGTTTAGTGATAGAACTACTGTCGTCGGAACGCAGATAAGTTACTGAGTGATTGTTTAGGGTACAGCGCCCACGAACTAGGCGGCCAAGTGATTTACAGCGAGAAGGTTCCCTGAGGGTGGCGCCGACAGGTTTAGTGATAGAACTACTGTCGTTGGAATGCAGATAAGTTACTGAGTGATTGTTTAAGGTACAGCGCCCACGAACTAGGCGGCCGAGTGATTTACAGCGAGAAGGTTCCCTGAGAGTGGTGCCCTCTTCACAGCATTCGAGGGGCTCTCGATCGGTTGAGAGCTTGTTGATGAGGAGTATTAACGAGAAATCCCGCGACTTCCAATATTTTCTGCTAGCCCGGTGCATTTTATTGTCCAAGGTTTTCAATAGATTATCATGCCGGGAGATACCAGGGTGAGAGAGCTCATAGGTCCCGATAGAATATATCACAAATGCATTGTGTCGGATGAAAGAAAGAAGTCGTTCCAGTCCCGGAGGGCTAGCAAGGATGAAAAAGCCAGCAAAAAATCCGGAATCAGGAGGTGAAAGAAGGACTCGGGGGACAGTTTCGATATATATGATTGCGTCGCACAAAACGCCGCAATGATGTTACCTGGGAAGTATGGACATTCTGTGACCGTAGCCAGATGCGCCTTATTTAAAAATATTAGGTTTAGGGTACGTCGGACACGAGTGGAGCTGCGCACAATCTGAGACAAACCCTCTTCACTAAGTTGGGCAAGCAGCAAGGCGTAACGAGTAGGGCCCAAATTGGGAGACCAGGAAATATCCTGTAGGCTGAAGTCACCCAGCACGAATTCAGACGAATGAGGAAGGGCATGTGCAGCAGGGATAATACGGGACAAGGCAGTCAAAGAAGAGGGGATTGGACCGGTGGTAGATGGATACAACCTACTAGTTCTGATAATTCTGTCTGTTTTATGGAGATTCAGATGACCTGTGGAATCCCTTCTAGGCTGGAATCCTCAGCGGAGTATGCACGAACTTCCGATTTGAAATAGATGAGACGGCCTTCACTCCTTGAGTTCCTCCTGTCACAGCGGTGGATGTTATGATCAGGGACTGAATAAGCCGTGCCAGGAGTTTCAAATAAGAGCAATGTTTCAGTCACGCAACTCAGACTTGGTTGCGCAACGGTGATAATGACTCACGGAATATGAACTTCTGGTAGAAGTTGGCAAGCTGCCTGCCGTGTTCAAGTTGTAATGACTCGATCACATCTCGATCATCATGCTGCTTACAAGTTGAGAAATGAACGTATTGTTATTATTTTTCATCACATATTGCTCACTTTCTATGACATCGTCCTCTCCTCTGTGCACTCTCCAGTACCCACAAGTCCCCCCAGTAATGCTTTTTTCTGACTGAAAGTATGATCATGCCTGACGGTAGACCATCCACAAGTTGGGAGTGAACATTATTATAATTAAACAGCATCACTAATAGTTCCATTGGTGAGCACATTATACTAATTAGGAACTCACTAACCTCATTTACGGTGGAGTTCGCTGCTAGGAGGAA